TCACAGGGGATGACGCCAGCATGGGCGCTGATGCCGATGCCAAGCCAGGTGACGAGTCGTCGGCTCACCCTGGGGAGGAGGAAGCTGATGAGCCAGCAAACGATCCCACCGATGTGGTCAGGGACTCAGAGAATTCCGGGAAACAACAACTTTTGGATGCGTTGGGAAAACTCTTCACCGTCTCTGAGGATGTCAACGTGTGCTTGTATTGTGGTAGCACCAAACATGGTCATCTTGAATGTGAACATGAGAAGAGAGATGAAGTCAGAAAGGTGCTAAAGGCCGTCCGAGCGTCGCTCGAGGCTGATAGTCCCACATCTGATGACGTCGATATGGAGCCTCCTGAGCACAAGAAGGACAGTTCAGGTGCTACTGAAGGGTCGGGGCAAACAGATGAACCTACAAAATCGAGGTTTAGTGAACACCAGTGGTACGACAGCATTAGAACTATGTCTGAAGTTGGTGACCTCGATGAGTATGGTAGGTTCTGCATCGAAGGACGTGATGTTACAAAGCTGGGACCACAGAACGTTGTTGACCTCAACGAAGTGATCCGAGACGCTATTGTCAGGGGAGGAGGCGACACTTGGTCAGTGCCAGACTTCATGGCAAGCTACTCTGACAACAACATCAGGAAGACCTTCTACAAACGAGTCGAAGCGCCGCAAGATTGTTTCTTGAAGATCATCCCGACTACGGGGGCCCATTTCTTCAACTGCTCTTACTTTGGCGGTGTAGAATATGCGGCCAACTACCGCTTCGAGACTGGCAACCGACTCGACACCTACGAGGACAAGGTGAGTACCTCACTAAACAGGATCCTGCGGCACAACGTGGGGAAGGTATCAGAGCAGCAGAGTCTGTCCTGTGATGACGCCGGCTGGGTGCCTATCGAGGAGGTGCTCAAATGTGAGTCCATCTGGAGGCACGAGCATGCACGCTGGCCACACGTATTCCTTGCCCCAAAAGGAAGAGCAAATGATCAGAGTGCATGGAATGTCAAAGAGGCGAACTACCGCATGACATTGCTCTTCAAGATCATGTTCCACTGTGCCCGGTACGGACGTCGTGTGCGTGAACAAGTCTTGGCATTTGGGATCAACAAGGACATTGATCGCCGCAGCCTGACGTGCATTGACAACAATGTCGAAGCGGACACGCACATCCCTGACGAAGGTCTACTGCTCTACCCAGTGGCGGTCCGTGCTCCTACGGGGCACAAAGAAGGATCTTCAAGAGACGACGTTTCATTGCTGTCCTCGTTGCTTTCACATCCAATCGCACCCAACACCATTTTGTCATTACCGGTCTGTTTCCACATCACCAAGAAGACCAACCTCCGAAGCATTTGGAGGCAGGGATTAATGCCAGGAGGTCTTGGAGAAGGTCACCGGATGTTCACGTTCTTCAATCCGTATGTGCCATGGGATCATAGATCATGGACCATCACGAAGAGCGTTGATACGCGCAAGGGGGACTACATTTGCTTGTTCATCCCGACCGAGACCTTGATGGTGGAATATGGCGGTCGACTAACTGACTCGGGACAGATCGTTTCACCAAGGATCATCCCGTTCTCGGCAATCAAAGGAGGATGGATTCAGGACCCCAAGGACCAATACAACAAGACATGGCTCCGGTTGTTCGTCCCGTCGGGCGACGACCAGGTAGTCCGGTCTGGAACTATCAAATCAAGAACGGTAGCCACCAAGGAGTCCATCCTGAGGGTTGCAAGCCAGTGCATCGACGCCGAAGACCAACCGTATGACGAAATCGCCATGGATGCCATGAACATCGTCAACCAGTTCAAGAATAACCTCATCGAGCCTGGTGGACAAGAGCAATACCTGGCCCGCATCAAGCTGATTGACTATATAGTCGAGCGCAAAAGGGTGCAAACGTCAGGTTGCCGTCATTGTCCTCACTGTCTCAACGAGACGCCGACAAAGCTAGCAGTGTGTCTAGTCTGCTGGACGGAACTTGAAAGTTGTGGAATCCGTCCATATCGGCTACAAGCTCCTGAAGACGATGAAGATGAGGCCACAAAGAAAGAGCTCGATGAAGAAGTTCGTCGACAAGAAGAATCGTTGTTCAAGGATACGGTCAATCAAGCACAAGAAAACGTATCTGAATCCAACGACTATGGCTTCAATCCTGACGAGGTCGACTACAATGAAGGCGATGATGAGGAAATGGATCAGGAGGAGGAAGCTCAACAGGAAGACGACGAAATCGTCGAAGAAGAAGACGATGAGATGGACGTCGAACCTGAAGATGAACCTTCTTCCAAACTTCCAGCATGGACTAAGAATCTTGAGAGCGGAAGCAAGGGTATGCCGGAAGACGGACTTATCAACAATGATGTCTCCGAGGCCGCGGCTCACTTGTATGACAATGCCGTCATGTCAAAGGTCATCACGATGTTCAGGCTCTACTATAAACAGAGAGTCACTCTGACCCCAGAGGAGTACTACGAGATGATGACGGAAACCAAGCGAGTCCGGCTAGACCTGGACGACTTCTGCCCCTACACAGGCGAAGACCAGGATGGCAACCTCAAGCGACCGACGGAGCTGGAGTTGGACGAACTCTTTCAGGAGAAAGGGAAAAGGAACTCATGGTCAGAGGGAGAGAAGATGTACTCAGGACGACCAAGAAACATGATGATGCCTGTCATCAAGACTTTGGAGATCTATGAAAAGATGATGGAATTTCTGGTACGCGCCGGATACACTCCCGAGTCATTAGGTTTCCTCATGCCAATGAACCGAATGCAGGCTGATGCCCAAGGGAAGCAGGAGATGCGAGTGACCATCAGCAACTTTCTTCGACGACTGCTGAAAGGAACCTTTCCAGAACACGAATCGTACACCTTCTTTCGTTCCGGGAGCCACGGCTTCCCCAACTGCATCGAACTCCCAGCTTTCTCGGTATATCTGAGTCTGAGGGAGAAGGAACAGAGAGTGGAATTACTCTTTGCCGCCCAACAATGTGGCATTCCCTTACCTCAAAACTTTGTCAGCAAGATGGCTTATGCTATTCAACTGGCAGAGGCCGAGGCGCAGAGGGGAAAGACCGAGATGAAAACGAAGATGGCTCCAACCCTTGGCGACGAAGTGGTGAGTGAAGTATTCAAAGCGGTCGGACATACTGCCGCTTCCAAGTTTACCACCGCAGCCAAATCATCAGCACAACCTTCACAGAAACCTGAAGGCACTGGTTCAGCATCATCCTCATCGGCCAGCGCACCAAAGGCCAAGGCTATGCCGAAATCCCATGAACCATCAAAGGCACCGCCTGCGAAGCCCTCATCGCCGAAAGCTGCTCCGAAACGTGCGGCAGGATGGGAGAAAACTCCAACAACACCTCAATGGAAGAAAGTCCGCCGTGAGCAGTAAACCAATTACCTATGTCCATCAAAATGATCACTGACCTATAAGATGTGTATCGTCTTTGCGAACAGATGATCAGGAAAAGACCAACTGAGTGGACTCTGAGCGAGGCATTAGACTAATTCGCTTAGGTCCGAGACTTTTGATATTCCCAATCTGCACGAAGTTCTGCACAGTGCACGTGAATTCGTTAGTTAGCATTGTAAATCTTTGGTAGCAAAGCGATCCATTTCTCCCGACGGGTGAGTGGCACGCCTAGCCAACATAGAAAAGTAGATGTTAGCTAGCAATAATTCGCGCTGTACAGCTTGATGAAGCGCCGATGCATCGACAGCCAAAGAGTAGGCGAACCCTGAACCATTATTCCCGACGGGTATGTGGGGAAGGGGGAGCCGAATGGCATGTTTTTATGTAGATAGGCGTAATTCAAGCAGCAGAACCATCTTAATTCAAAGTTCCCTCTCTCGTGTCCGTGGTCTGAAGATACCACGGGCATGGGGGGTGTTAAAGGGAACGAGATGAAACAACATGTACAGCATGCAGTGTTAAAACAACATGCTGTGACCGCCAAACATTGGCTCAAGCGTATGGAGAAAAGGGATGCGTCGTGTGACTCCGCATGGCATTTGTCGGCTACCAGTAGCAAGGGTACTACAGGTCTGAGATAACATCCAGGACAAGGATCCATTTGTTCACAGATACATATGATACATATGATACATGCATGCATGCATACATACATACATACGATACATACATACATACATACATGCATACATGCATACATGCATACATGCATACATGCATACATGCATACATGCATACATGCATACATGCATACATGCATACGTGCATACATGCATACATGCATACATGCATACATGCATACATACATACATACTTACATACTTACATACTTACATACATACTTACATACATACTTACATACTTACATACTTGCATACTTGCATACTTACATACTTACATACTTACTTACATACATATACACACACATACACACATACACGCATACACACATACACACCATCTCTGTGTGTGTGATATGCATCATTGAACAGAAGGCAGCAAAACTGCTAGAGATTGAGCCAGAGCAAGGCCCGTCCCTACGGCTAGCATGCTATTCGCCACAAGGGCAGGAGAAACGAGTCTTCGCCGTTTTAGCCAGGAAGGCAAAGACTGACGTGGATTTCACCTCCAGGACTTAGGACCTGTAAAAGCAGGACGGAGGAGTTTAAAAAGGAGAGGAATGTAGAAGAACAACAACGTCAACCGTGCGTGCGCTCGAGTCCGCACACTAGCCAACCTGGTAAAATGGTCCATCCACAAAGCCACTCATCAAGGGAATGGTGAGCGAACAACATCGAAGAGACAGCAAAATCACACAAGGGTGGAAATGACCCCAAACAAATTTTGGGTTGGCAAAAATTGACTGAAAGCGCCTGTTCACACATCCCCTCGTTGTAGCATTTTTAAACTTCAGTTCATTTGCTGCATGCTGAAGCTGTTACCCAACATGCAAGGTATTTGCTGATAAGAACTCGGTTTTGCAAGAGCATCATAGATTACATTCATCTACATTTGAGAATAATGAAGGTTTTCATAGTTTGCAAGGAAGTTCAGCAACTTGGCCAGGGCAGAATAGACCAGCAGCTGCACAACAGTGATTTGACTGCTTTGGGTTTGTCCTTCGCCTCCTTGATGATTTGTATTCCGTGCTTTCGACTACGAGATCGTCAGTCCATTTGGCGAAAATTCCCATTCCGTATGCTGGTTTGGTATGTCGGTGCGTGCATGTTCCATGCATTGTCCGGCGTGCTTGTGAACACTTTGCTTCCTGTTTGCAGCAGAGTTGGTGCATATTTGATCAGTTATTGCGAAATTCAACGCTACGTCTTGGTGGCGCTGATGCTGCATTGGCTGCATCGCTTTGAAGATGGTGTTCGTGCAGACAAGACAATTTGGATTGCCTTAGTTGCTCCAATTCCAATCTGCGCCTGCACACCACAACCACTGACAAAGAAATACTGTGTGCTTCAAGGTGGTGAGGCCAATAGATTTTATGTGCTCGTTGGGATTGTGTCCTTCCTGATTCTAGCGTGCCTCACTCTTGCAGGTCTGCTCCGCAGTAAGAGAGCAGAGGCTGAGAGCCCCAGAACGCCAGAGAGAAGTCCGCAACCCGCCCTATCCTTTCAGGTAGCCAACAGTCTGGTGGAGTTTGAACCAGATTCACCCACCTGCTATCAGCATTTGGGTAGCAGCAGGAGCCCAACAAGATTACCCATCAGGGCCAGTCGCCAGATGACACCGCCTTTGAGCAGGCGAACTTTGGAACTGGAGGAAATCGAAAATGCTTCATCCGAGTTCGCAAGCGCAATCAATGGCACGTTATTAGAGGACCGCTTCTTGGACAGTGGAGCGTCTCAACTCACTGCTTTGGCAAACCTGAAATTTGCAATCTTAGTGATTGCCTCCAAGTGTACGGTCGTCCTTGCCATTTCCCTTGTTGTCCGAAGCATACTCTTTTTCCAGCCTTTCCACACAGAGACCGAGTCCGCATTAGTCTTCGGCTTGATGGTGGAGCTTCTGCTTGAAAATACAGAGGGTATTTTTGTGCTTCTGATTACATTGGCTCTTTTCGAGACGCAATGGTCGAGGCTCACCCGTCTATTGCGAATGCGTCACCGCCAAGCCCGGTCACTCGTGCATTCAACGGAGAGATTCCCGGAGGAACTGCGGGAAGGGGATGGGTCCATGCATTTGCAGTAAACAAATGTCAATCGTGTTGCGAGAGCGCTGCTTGGAGACTGCCGAAGGCACCGAAGGCACAAGAAAGCGCAAGAGTGAATCTGTTCGGGCTCGGGGTTTCTTGTAAAGCTCAATTATATCGTATCTATTCATATTCCACTTGGCATATCTTGGAGTTCTCTTGTATGATACAATGGCAATTTCATAATCGTTTCATTTGTGCCCAGAGTCATTGTTTTCCGAAATTACAGCTGGCCAGCGCACCGCCGCATATGCTCGATGGCCTTGGAGTGAAAAAGTGGGAGTGAAGCAAAGCACAAGGCAAACAAAATTTGACATTTTCACCCAGTGCCGCAGGATGTTCAAGGCAATCAGGATGTTCTTCACGCGATTCTTTTTGCTGTTCAGGCGACAAGTTCGGCTTATTGGCCGAAAGCAATACGAATCCGTGAAGTTTCTTCTGAAGGATGCAGACGTCCAATGCGTTTATGCCTCAGGTTTTGCTGGCCATGGCTACTGGCTGGTTCTTGCACCACGTTGAAGTTGTAGTATGTTGTAGTTATATAGGTATCCAATGGTTTCCACAATGATGCCATGATTGTTTTCACAGTGACGGGATGGTTCCATGTGCAGATGGTTGTGCCTGAGATACCCACCATGGACGGTGAGTTCCAGCTGAATGATGAGGCCAGCTGCCTGCTGCAACCTGCTTTTCGAAATTCTGCACCGGTAGAAGAAGGTATCGGATAGTAATTGGATAAGTATAGGAGAGTGTTCTGTGGTTCGATTCTTGCACCAGCTATGGTGTTGAACTGGCACCTGTGGATGCAGAGCGGGTGTATGATTCTTGATTTTCATTATTTTCGGACCCAAGGACATGTCAGTGCCTATGACCGGCCTCCTGTCTCCATCGTTTGACCGCGCTGTGCGCCCTGAGTTCAAAGTGCGGAAGTAGTATGGTTTAAAGTAGTTTAAAGATGTTTAAAGATGTTTAAAGTAGTCATACATAGGCTTATGAATGTCTAGTGTTACAGTCCGCTTCATGTTCTGCAAATCTGATAGAATTCAAGAGAGCCCCGCAGCATCCTTTTCTGGATTGTTTTGAGGTACTGAAGCGCGAGATTTTTGGCCCCATCATTCCAATTCTGGCTGTGAGCAGCGTGGATGAGGTTTATTGCTGGTGGAAGAGGCTAGGACCCCTCCCTACTCCAGCTCTATTGGAATCTGCTAGGCTATTGGAATCATCAACCGTGTCGGGCCGAAGCCGCTGATTGCATACTGCTACACGAAGGCTGGACACTGGACACCGACTGGGAGCTTCGCAAGACGAAATCTCTGACAAGTACAAAGGCTACAAAGGTGATGTTAAGTCAAGTCCGCACAGTTGAAGTTGAAAGTTTACTGCCTGCTGTCTCAACCCATGCAAGTGTGTTCAACTTTCTTTGGTGTTTTTCTCACTGGAATTGCACCTACCATATAGAAGAATGCAAAGAGTCCTCACATGACGTGTGGCCACAGGTAGCCTCTGGCTGGGCCTGTTTTTGATTGTTTTTGCTCTACTGATGATGCGATTCATTTTTTGAGAAGCAAACATACACATGCAGATACGTTAGCAGGGGAGGAGTCAAAACTATATGTTATATCGTATATGCACATCGCAAAGAGCATTGCGCGCAGAGGGTCCATCATGATCATGAGTTGAGCAGCATCAACACAGGGGTCATTCTGCCTGATATCCTTATAAAATTTCTTAAGGTTTAAGGCGTTAAGATTTGTTCATGCATTGCATTGTGATATATGTTGTATACGCCTAGGTCACCAGCATTACCTCTTACAGGACCAAGTTGTGTGAACCTGTCTGTGGGTGTTGAGAAAGAACAACCATTTTTGGTGAGATGATTTCCCTTCAACCGCCAATCAAATTGCGCAGCAATTTTGCAGGGAGAAGCGGCTGAGAAATCCTTTGTGAGTGGTGTTCCTGCGGGAAACATTGCGGTCAATGGTGGCCCACAGGTCAACACCACAAAACGACCTTGCAAGAGGAAGACTGAGCAGGGAAAATGATGTCATGCTAGGATATGCTACGTCTTGCTCCAAATGATGTCATGCTAGTTGTGAAAGCTTTGTTTGATGAGAAATGCGCGGGTTGCTAATTCCTTCATGAAACTGTCGCCGCCAGCGCATGATCGGGAACTACGCCGTGAGCTTCGGTGGAACAGGGCCAAGTGGAACAGGTGCCTGTGGTGGTCTCATGGCACCAACAGTGCTAAACCGCATAAAGTGACAGCCCATGAAGTTGGAATGCTTCAAAGGGATGTGATTAAAAGCCATTCGTACTTGGAATGCCCATGAATGCCCCTTGAAATCGCGGAAGCCATGGAAGGTGCTGGATTTTGGGGCAAAGATGCCCTCCGCGAGTTTTCGAACCGCAAGTGTGTGATGCAACCTGGAACTCTGAGCAGCGTCCAGCATGCTCTTCCGAAGCATTCCGAAGCATAACCAGCGTTCTCCAAACACTTTCCTTTCCGAGGTCATGAGTGCGAAGGATGGCTTTGCCAGGCCATGCTGTCGTAAACTGGGGGAGCTTGCCGCATGTCAGCTGGTTGCAGGTCCTTCTTCTCGGGACTACCATGACGGATCCAATGTTTGCAGCTAAGCCTGCTGAGTTATCGATTTTCACTTCCCCCCACCTGCGAGACGCACAAGGAACGTTTTAAGGTGGGACGGGACACGCGATGGACAGCAATTAGAGTAATAGACTACAGGTCCGAGCAGCTTTCTGCTGGTGAGTTTCATGCTGGCAAAGATTATGGTCTTTGAAAATCCTCCTCAATTCAACCCTTTTTATAGAATCCTTTTTACTCTTTGGTAATTGGGAACAATTTCTTGGTTCAAGTTGACGGTACTTCCCAACATGCTACAGTAGTGTTTCAGTCCCAGTGCATGTGGTGCTTTCCGAGCTAGCTGGCATGCAATTTTTTTATATTGTTTCTGCTGCCGGAGGCTCAACATACCAACAGTAAGGCAAGTTGACCAGCACAAAAGGCCGCAAGCAAACGGTATAGTGGCATCAAACTCTGCATGACGAGTTTTTCCTTTTTTTTGGAAAGGTTGTACAAGTAGCCCTGCAGCTGTCCAGATTGATTTTCAGACATGAACCATGCAGCCCTTGCTGGTGGAGTGGCTGGGGTGGTGGAATCCATTGTAGCTCCTTGGCTGCCCACTGGCTGCCCACTGGCTGCCCACTGGCTGCCCACTGGCTGCCCACTGCAACCGGCAGCCATCTGCCATCGCGGAGCACTAAGGTGCAGCCCCTGGACATTGTCAAGACCAGGTTTCAGCTGAGCAGAGAGGCAAACCCAAAGCTGCAGGGCCCCCAGATGTGGTACCGCATACCGGGCATAGCGGGACCGTACTGTACCGTTGGCATGTCCATTGAAGAGCTGGATAGACTGGGCAAGATTGTGAGTAAAGAGCCATTTGATTTCAACGCAAAGAAGGAATGGATAGGAATGGAATGATTGGCAAAGCATGCAAAGAGGATTAACTAGGCACACGGAAGCAGATGCTAGCGGCAACTTGCCACCTGTACCTTGCAGTCATACCCACATGTATCGTGTAAGTTCATGCAGTTGCGACACGTGTTTCTTTTCTCACTTCCCCCATTTGCTTTATCATTGATCAAAAAAAAACAAGGGCAGCCCATGTTTCACTCTCCCACACTTAGTGCTATGGCCTCAATACTTACTGGCAATGGACTGTCTCCAACACTGTGTGGCTGGGCTATGTCCTTGACTCAGACCGTTTGGGCCGGTGCTGAGCAGTTCAGGTGGCAATGGTATGAGGTGATACGAGGTCTGAAGAATCAGAAGGAATCACAAGGATTCTACAGGTATAAATCTGCTGTTGTTCAGTATTCATGAGTTTCGCTGATCGTCCATAGGTACATAATAGGCACTATCCATCATCACCAGGCACCTCTGCCTCCCGGCGGACAAAGATTGGGCGGCTGGGCCACTTTGGTGAAGGCTGGTACCTGGTAACAGATTTGCTGTGAAACGATGTGAACTGAGAAGACCCTGCAGGACTCGCGGAAACAGATGGACGAGCGGATAGTTTGTATGTCCCAGATCGCTTGGTTCTGGCAGAACACGGTGAACCAGGAGACAACCACTTTTCCCCAGACCATGAACTGCCCAACCTGCGATGCTGAAAGTCCAGGTGCAACATGCTGCACCCACCAAATGCCAATCCAGGACCTAGCAACGGGAAGCTGGGTGCTTTGGCAATGGCGATTGGTTGTCAGGAACTTGATGTACTACTTTCGGTTTGAGCAGCAGGCTTTGCGCATGCAGTGTCGAGGCATATTATGGGGCATATTATTCTACTGCTACCTTGTTTGAAACAGCATCACATGGCACTTCATGACGTACTACATTGCACAAACACATGAAAATTGCCGCAATGTAGCTCTTGCCATTGACGCCATGCAAGCATCCAATTAGTAACCAAGCACAGTTCCATAACGAGAGATATACCTCCACATACCTGCAGATACCCTCAGGTGTACGTAGTGAGGTTCTCTTCCCTACAGGTAGCACTCGCAACTGACACTGAGCAGATTTCGATACTGGACCTGTGCTGTAGATGCTGTAGTGCTTAAAGGTGAGGTTTCGAAAATCAAAGCGCAGGCTATACGCCCAGATACAAGCCAGATGTTCAAGCTTTGCAGGTCCATAAACACAAAATCTCCACTCTAGGTACATACGTTCGAGAGAGCATGGCAACGTATCTCCACGATAGTAATGAACTATAATGAACACACACATCTTTCTGCTCTCCGTTGGCATCGTGTGGTATCCTCATATTGGGACCCCTGCCAAGTCTTGGAAGACCCTGCTGAGGTCGGCTTGCTGCAACTGAGGAGAGGAGGGACGTTAGCAACTAAAATGCTATTTGCATAACATTGTTTTGACATGTTTCAATTCAACGATTTGAGGGTCGCAGCTACTTTTTGACTTGTGTCATACATGGCTGGCCAAGGTTTGTCTTGCAGTCTATCATGCCACATGTGGCATGCATGTCGTGCACATAGTTTGGATATGCCAGTTCATGTCTTGGTTTTCTCTTCTTACTTGCTACCATTTCTCTTCAAGCAGCAGAGCAGTCCATGCCACAACAGCCCTTGTGCCAAGCATTTTACAAAGGCGGGGCCTTTGCTTGCAGAAGTTGCAGCAGACTTGAACAGCCCAGTACGCAATGGTCATGGCCTTCCAAACGAGAAGGGGATAAAGGAAGAGGAACAAGTCAGTGAACAGGACAATGATTGACAATGCAAATAGCCTCGGGTTGACACAGGTTATACAGGTTGACACCTTTCAGTTGTAGATCACTGAGGTGTTGCAGCAAGAGCTGTGCCTACTGCCGTGACCCAAGACACCCATGCCAAGATTGTTGCAAGGTTGCTTTGCTTCACTTAGGCATTGGCAAAGCTTTCCCTGCGGCAAGCCAATCAAGTACCACTTGAAGGAACCATGAAACGTGAATCAACTTTACATAGTCGGTTGAGAAACCAAGAAAGTTGCAGTGTTCATTTGTCAGCTTGCAGGAGTCGTAGCTGTTGTTGTGGCAGCTGGAGGTTCGGAACTCCTCCCCTGATTTCAGTTGAGTTTATATTACCCGGCTCTACCCTCACCGACACACCTGCAAGACCACGTAGGAAAGCAGCTTTGTCCAAGCCTTTCTCTTGCAGAACGCGAAGTAATGGCTTGGCACCTGAAACCCCAGGCAGCTGGGTATGTTTTTTGGCATGTCTCAATATGTCTTAGCTTCTTGGCCACCACAACCAGTCGATCTTGGCAGGTCCCGGTCCATTGCATTTGGATGTCAGACACTGGCTCTGGAAGTCGCTTGAGGATGTGGTCCTCCACAGCATCACTGGCACATTCCGCGCAATGCCACTGAAGTGTGCAGCTTTGCCAATGACAGGTGGCTGCGCTGTACCCATTACCACGGCCAAGGCTTGATCTGAAGTTCTGAGTTTAATGATGTTCAATGCTTGTAACAAGTGCAGAAACTAATTGAAACTTGCCCCCACAGTATACGTTCCACATTCGATCATATACGATCATATATGATCATATACGTGTATAATATATAATATATCTAATATATGTAGTATGTGTATATATATATGTGTGTAGTACAATATCATGTCATGCAATGATACGCAATGTGTATGTGTATGACTTGTGTATGTGATGTATATTTTTTCTCTTCAGCGTTTCCGAAGGCCATTGGTCCAGCTGGAACTGGATCATCACAGGAATCTGTACAATGCTGTCCTGAAGGTGCTGCTTAGGTGTAGGTAGCTGAGCCTGATGTGACGTATCAGACCGTATTCGAAGATATGATGAGGTGTTCATACATGCATGAATAAACAGATACATACAGTAGATTGAATGAATGGAGAGAGATTGAATGAATGAGTGAATGGATCGATCAATGCATGAATGGAATCAAATGACATGAAATGAAATAACTTGACTTGAGTGGAGTGGAATGAAATAGAATCAAATGGAATCGAAAGAAATGAAACGGAATGAAACGGACGAAATGCCATGAAATGGAATGAAACGAAATGGAACGAAAGGAACGAAATGAAACGGAATGGAAGGGAATGAAATGAAACGGAATGACATGAAATGAATGAAATAAATGAGTCGTTGTATATATGCACATGCGTGATTGCCTGTGGTTGAGACAGTGGGATGGTTGAGGGACATGATTAGAAATTCTGTTGCTGGATGAGTTTTGTAACCTAGGTGAGACACTCTTTGGAGGGCTTAGAGAGTTTGTTTGTGCTTGGATAGCAGCCAAAGCACCAGGCTGCAGAAGCTGCAGCTGTCTCTGATGGCAACCATCAAGTGGCCTTGGGAGTGTTGTTCCAGTGCGGACAGATTCGGACATCGAGCAAGGACGGGATTCTGCTTTTTTCAACAACACTGGGTATGGGTCGAATTTTTTGGCACCCCAAATCCCAAATATCCCCAAATTCGATTTTGTGGGACTGTGGGAGTCATCATATTTTGGCCCATACCCATATGAATGGCGAAGGTAGCCAGCGGCTGGCACATTTTTATTGGACATTTTAGGCTAATCTTAGGGTGATCCATGGAGGATGTCCCGGTGCGCCATCCCCTTTGGGGCGATTGCAGGGGACTAAGCTGAAAGATACTTTGCTGTCACGCTGCGCTGATGGTCATGCATCTTGAACTTCAAGACATGATAGGTGTTTGGAATGCTTGCGTGCCACTGGGTTTTTCCCGGAAACAACATGCATCAGCCTTCGTGTTGGGGTCAATCATTGCCTGATGCTGAGAGTTCTCTGAGGCTTGGACCCAGAGCTCGTGCAGTTGGCAGAGTGCCTGGATGTTGGGGACTTGGATCAACTTGGATCAATGACCTGTGCTGAGCGGCATAGCATGGCGTAGCCGTCACAAACTCGGGGAAAAAAAAAACAGGATTATTGTCAAATTTTGTTGAGGCTGACCAAGGTTTGCATTGCATGCATTTATTGAATTTACAGACTTATATAGTTTCTGCAGTTAGCAGGATCAAGCAAGAACCTAATTGCCCCATGGCCTCGCCACTGCCAGCCATCCTTTGGCTGTCACAAGATGTGGCAGGGTTGGCGAAAAAGACCACCCAGGAGCTGAGGCTGGCATTGCTGGATGATCTTGATAGACACTTGGGTGTTGTCGGCGCAAGACCACCTGCGGTGGAAGAAGAGGTTGAGCGTTTTCTTCTGAGAGGCCGGGTCTCAGACTCGAACCTGAGCAGATTGGAGAGGAGATTGCGAGCTAGGCTTGCAGGCAGTGGATCTGGATGTGGCAGATCTCAAAGCAGCTATTCAGCCAGGTCTGAGGCAACTGAGAAATTGCGAGGCCTTTCGCGTGGTTGCAGCTCTGCCCGGAAGGAAACGCCAAGAATTCAGACTTCTGAAGCTGGTGATCTGCAAAGGGTGCCAGAGGATGAGATGCTTCGCTGGTCACAGATCGCCAAGTTGGCAAGAAAAGAAGCAGAGATAGAAGAAACACGGAAAAGGGAAGCAAGGAGGATCGCCCAAAAAGAGATGAGAGCATTTCTTCAGAAGCAAGTGGATCAAAAGAATTTGAGACAAAAACAGGCTGCTGAAGATGAACTTGAATTCTTCCAGATGCAAAAGGCGGATTTGGAACGTTGGAAGCAGGACCAGGTCACCGAGGCTCAAAATCGGCTGCAGCAGCTGCAGCTGGTGATCCGAGATCGTGCAGTCCATAGCGAGGCAGCGCTGCAGCAACGGGAAGCCGAGCGGAAGCGAAGATCCAGTGAGGATCGTCGTTTAATCCTGCGAGCTGCCAGAGAACTTGAGCTCGAGAAGCGAGCTGTTGAGGAGAAAAGGCACGAAAGGCGAATAGCACACACCGCACTTGTTCAGGAAGCCCTCAAGGAGAAAAAGGCAGGCCCTGAGGCTCGGGCACAAAGAATTCAAGAAGAGAAGCAGAGACTTGAAGAGTATTCCAAGTTCTTGGAAGCACAAGAGGCCCGAAGCAAAGCTTCAAAACCTCGCATTCGAGATCAAACTCCAGCAGCTCCACCACGTGCAAAGCGCAAAGGTGAAGAAGTGTACTACGATCCAGAAATTGTCATGAAGATTCGCAATGAGGCTATGGCCCGTGCTGAGCAGGCTGAGCTGTCCAAGCAAGAACACTTGAAGATGGAAAGACATCTGAATCAGGCCTTCCTTTTCCAGCAAATTGCTGAGAGGGAGGAGAGCAGAAGACGATTCATGGAGGAACAGAAAGATCACCAGAAGGCTGCTGCAGATGCTGCTGCAAAGGAATATGAAATGGCGGAACAGCAGCGTATAGAACAGCAGAAGATGAAGAACATGGAGTATCGCTTGGAGCTTGATCGACAGACATTTGAAGAAAATGATGCAGCAACTACAAGAAGATCAGATGAGCGGAGCAGAGAAGGCCATGAATCGAAACTATGTCATGGAGGCCATGAAGAAGACTTGCAGCACGAGCGACAGGGCCCCAGATGAGTGAACTGCCATCTTCTTCTTGGAATTCATTACTAAAACATACGTACTAAAACGCAAATATGCGGTTGTGTGATTGCCATTGAAAATATGATTGTCTTGAAAATGAGATTTGGCTTACGGAATGCATCATTGTTGTGCTGTTCTGCTCTCATGCCATCGTCACTGAACGATGAATCTGCAATGAAGGAACCCTTTAGTGCCACAAGGTGCCAGAATCCGTGGCTTGCCTTGTGGCGTTGACGATTCAATGTGAAGCACGCATTGACCGCATTGACTGCCAAAATTGGAATGATTGGAATGGGCTGAATGCGCGTCAGACACGTCGGAGTAGCGAAGTGACAATACCACGGTCTTGCTGTTTCTATTCTGCCTTTCCAGGTCAAAGCTGCTGGGCCAGATCTCCCAAAGATTCTTTTGCTCCTGGATGCGCAGCGCAACCCAGTGGCGTGTGAGACTAAGTGGCTGACGGGACCACCAATTGAAGATGTTGGGTGTTTCTATCCAAATACCTAGAATAGGTCAGAATGAGATAGGATGAGATAAGGGCAAAATTTGAAACAGGTCACACTGTGTCGCTACTTCAAGATACTCCAGGCCGCAGGCTCCGGCCAGAGAATTTCTGCCCTCATCTCAGGGAATATGAAAGTCCGATGCAATGCCTGTAGCTATGGGATGCTATGGGAGCCTTGTGAATTCTGGCTATCAGGATGTGTCATGGATTGCACAACTTGCTCGTCCTCCTGTCCAATGAGGCGGTTTGTTCGGACCGAATGGGACCGCAACAAGCCCTCCTGTTTCAGCCTGTTCTCTGCTAGTAAACAATTTGTGGAAACATACCGAAGCCACAACTCAACGTATCCAGCCAGAAGGCTGATGTCAGGTGATATAAGTGCATGCGCATTTTTCCCGAATGCGTAGCGAAGGGTTCCCGTTTATAGTTGGGGGTCTGGGGGTTGGACCTTTGTTCGCCGCCAGTTGGTCGGCGCGTCGTTTTCGCGTCGTTTTCGCGTCGTTTTTCGCGTCGTTAATTCGGTGTCTATAGGGGAAGCTGCAAAACCTCGTGTCTTTTGCGACGTAGATGTCGCAGTGTCTATAGGGGAAGCTGCAAAACCTCGTGTTTTTTGCGACGTAGATGTCGCAGTGTCTATAGGGGAAGCTGCAAAACCTCGTGTCTTTTGCGACGTAGATGTTGCGGTGTCTATAGGGGAAGCTGCAAAACCTTGTGTCTTTTGCGATGTAGATGTCGCAGTGTCTATAGGGGAAGTTGCAAAACCTCGTGTTTTTTGCTACGTGGATGTCGCCGTGTCTATAGGGGAAGCTCCAAAACCTCGTGTTTTTTGCTACGTAGATGCCGCAGTGTCTATAGGGAAAGCTGCAAAACCTCGTGTTTTTTGCTACGTAGATGTCGCAGTGTCTATAGGGGAAGCTGCAAAACCTCGTGTTTTTTGCTACGTAGATGTCGCAGTGTCTATACGGGAAGCTGCAAAACCTCGTGTTTTTTGCCACGTAGATGTCGCAGTGTCTATAGGGGAAGCTGCAAAACGTCGTGTTTTTTGCTACGTAGCTGTCGCAGTGTCTATAGGGGAAGCTGCAAAACTTCGTGTTTTTTGCTACGTAGCTGTCGCAGTGTCTATAGGGGAAGCTGCAAAATCTCGTGTCTTTTGCTGCGTCGATGTCGCAGTGTCTATAGGGGAAGCTGCAAAACCTCTTGTGTTTTGCTACGTAGATGTTGCAGTGTCTATAGGGGAAGCTGCAAAACCTCGTGTGTTTTGCTACGTAGATGTTGCAGTGTCTATAGGGGAAGCTGCAAAACCTCGTGTTTGTTGCTACGTAGCTGTTGCAGTGTCTATAGGGGAAGCTGGAAAACGTCGTGTTTTTTGCTACGTAGCTGTCGCAGTGTCTATAGGGGAAGCTGCAAAACCTCGTGTTTTTTGCTACGTAGATGTCGCAGTGTCTATAGGGGAAGCTGCAAAACCTCGTGTTTTTTGCGACGTAGATGTCGCAGTGTCTATGCGGGAAGCTGCAAAACCTCGTGTCTTTTGCGACGTAGATGTCGCAGTGTCTATAGGGGAAGCTGCAAAACCTCGTGTTACTTCGTGTTTTTTGCTACGTAGATGTCGCAGTGTCTATAGGGGAAGCTGCAAAACCTCGTCTCTTTTGCGACGTAGATGTCGCAGTGTCTATAGGGGAAGCTGCAAAACCTCGTGTTTTTTGCTACGTAGATGTCGCAGTGTCTATAGGGGAAGCTGCAAAACTTCGTGTTTTTTGCTACGTTGATGTCGCAGTGTCTATAGGGGAAGCTGCAAAACCTCCTGTTTTTTGCTACGTAGATGTCGCAGTGTCTATAGGGGAAGCTGCAAAACCTCGTGTCTTTTGTTGCGTAGATGTCGCAGTGTCTATAGGGGAAGCTGCAACACCTCGTGTTTTTTGCTACGTGGATGTTGCAGTGTCTGTAGGGGAAGCTGCAAAACCTCGTGTTTTGTGCTACGTAGATGTCGCCATGTCTATAGGGGAAGCTGCAACACCTCGTGTCTTGTGCTACGTGGATGTCACCGTGTCTATAGGGGAAGCTGCAAAACTTCGTGTCTTTTGCTACGTGGATGTCGCCGTGTCTATAGGGGAAGCTGCAAAACCTCGTTTCTTTTGCTACGTGGATGTCGCCGTGTCTATAGGGGAAGCTCCAAAACCGCAAAACCTCGTGTTTTTTGTACGTAGATGTCGCAGTGTCTATAGGGGAAGCTGCAAAACCTCGTGTTTTTTGTACGTAGATGTCGCAGTGTCTATAGGGGAAGCTGCAAAACCTCGTGTCTTTTGCGACGTAGATGTCGCAGTGTCTATAGGGGAAGCTGCAAAACCTCGTGTTACTTCGTGTCTTTTGCTACGTGGATGTCGCAGTGTCTATAGGGGAAGCTGCAGGACCTCGTGTCTTTTGTTGCGTAGATGTTGCCGTGTCTATAGGGGAAGTAGTTTGTGCAAGTTTTGTAGTATACGGTAGTACTGGAACGACTTTGTCCAAGCTTTGTAGTACACGGTAGTACTGGGAACGTGTTTGTGCGAGCTTTGTAGTACACAGTAGTACTGGAACGTGTTTGTGCAAGCTTTGTAGTACACAGTAGTACTGGGAACGGCTTTGTGCAAGCTTTGTAGTACACAGTAGTACTGGGAAGTAGTTTGTGCGAGCTTTGTAGTACACAGTAGTACTGCGAACGACTTTGTGCAAGCTTTGTAGTACACAGTAGTACTGGGAACGTTTTTGTGCGAGCTTTGTAGTACACAGTAGTACTTGGAAGTAGTTTGTGCGAGCTTTGTAGTACACAGTAGTACTGGGAACGTGCTTCTGCAAGCTTTGCAGTACACAGTAGTACTGGGAAGTAGTTTGTGCAAGCTTTGTAGTACACAGTAGTACTGGAACGCGTTTGTGGAAGCTTTGTAGTACACAGTAGCACTGGGAACGACTTTGTGCAAGCTTTGTAGTACAAAGTAGTACTGGGAAGTAGTTGTTGCAAGCTTTGTAGTACACAGTAGTACTGGGAACGACTTTGTGCAAGCTTTGTAGTACACAGTAGTACTGGGAAGTGTTTTGTGCAAGCTTCGTAGTACAAAGTAGTACTGGGAAGTGCTTTGTGCGAGCTTTGTAGTACACAGTAGTACTGGGAACGTGTTTGTGCGAGCTTTGTAGTACACAGTAGTTCGTGCAAGCTTTGTAGTACAAAGTAGTACTGGGAAGTGCTTTGTGCAAGCTTCGTAGTACACAGTAGTACTGGGAAGTGCTTTGTGCAAGCTTTGTAGTACACAGTAGTACTGGGAACGACTTTGTGCAAGCTTTGTAGTAAAAAGTAGTACTGGGAAGTGCTTTGTGCAAGCTTTGTAGTACACAGTAGTACTGGGAAGTGCTTCGTGCAAGCTTTGTAGTACACAGTAGTACTGGGAACGTGTTTGTGCGAGCTTTGTAGTACACAGTAGTACTTGGAAGTAGTTTGTGCCAGCTTTGTAGTACACAGTAGTACTGGGAACGTGTTTCTGCAAGCTTTGTAGTACACAGTAGTACTGGGAAGTAGTTTGTGCAAGCTTTGTAGTACACAGTAGTACTGGAACGTGTTTGTGCATTTGTAGTACACAGTAGTACTGGGAAGTGCTTTCTGCAAGCTTTGAAGTACACAGTAGTACTGGGAAGTGCTTTGTGCGTGCTTTGTGCGAGCTTTGTAGTACACAGTAGTACTGGGAACGTGTTTCTGCAAGCTTTGTAGTACACAGTAGTACTGGGAAGTAGTTTGTGCAAGCTTTGTAGTACACATAGTACTGGAACGTGTTTGTGCATTTGTAGTACACAGTAGTAATGGGAAGTGCTTTCTGCAAGCTTTGTAGTACACAGTAGTACTGGGAAGTAGTTTGTGCGAGCTTTGTAGTACACAGTAGTACTTGGAAGTAGTTTGTGCGAGCTTTGTAGTACACAGTAGTACTGGGAACGGCTTTGTGCAAGCTTTGTAGTACACAGTAGTACTGGGAAGTGCTTTGTGCATTTGTAGTACACAGTAGTACTGGGAAGTGCTTTCTGCAAGCTTTGTAGTACACAGTAGTACTGGGAAGTAGTTTGTGCGAGCTTTGTAGTGCACAGTAGTACTGGGAACGTGTTTGTGCGAGCTTTGTAGTACACAGTAGTACTGGAACGTGTTTGTGCAAGTTTTGTAGTACACAGTAGTACTGGGAAGTAGTTTGTGCGAGCTTTGTAGTACACAGTAGTACTGGGAAGTAGTTTGTGCGAGCTTTGTAGTACACAGTAGTACTGGGAACGTGTTTGTGCGAGCTTTGTAGCACACAGTAGTACTACACATTAGTACTGGAACGTGTTTGTGCGAGCTTTGTAGTACACAGTAGTACTGGGAAGTGCTTTGTGCAAGTTTTGTAGTACACAGTAGTACTGGGAAGTAGTTTGTGCGAGCTTTGTAGTACACAGTAGTACTGGGAACGACTTTGTGCAAGCTTTGTAGTACAAAGTAGTACTGGGAACGTGTTTGTGCCAGTTTTGTAGTACACAGTCGTACTGGGAAGTGCTTTGTGCAAGCTTTGTAGTACACAGTAGTACTGGGAACGGATTTTTGCAAGCTTTGTAGTACACAGTAGTACTGGGAAGTAGTTTGTGCAAGCTTTGTAGTACACAGTAGTACTGGGAAGTAGTTTGTGCGAGCTTTGTAGTACACAGTAGTACTGGAACGACTTTGTGCAAGCTTCGTAGTACAAAGTAGTACTGGGAAGTGCTTTGTGCAAGCTTTGTAGTACACAGTAGTACTGGGAACGACTTTGTGCAAGCTTTGTAGTACAAAGTAGTACTGGGAAGTGCTTCGTGCAAGCTTTGTAGTACAAAGTGGTACTGGAAAGTAGTTTGTGCAAGATGTGTAGTACACAGTAGTACTGGGAAGTGCTTTGTGCAAGCTTTGTAGTACAAAGTAGTACTGGGAAGTAGTTTGTGCAAGCTTTGTAGTACACAGTAGTACTGGGAAGTGCTTTGTGCAAGCTTTGTAGTACAAAGTAGTACTGGGAAGTGCTTTGTGCAAGCTTTGTAGTACAAAGTAGTACTGGGAAGTGCTTTGTATAGTGTGGAGTGGGGAGTGTAGAGCGTGTAGAGTGTGGACTGTGTAGTGTAGATTGTAAAAAGTAAGAGTGTAAAGTGAGAGTGTGGAGTGTATAGTGTAATGTAGATTGTGGAGTGCAAAGTGTGGAGTGTGGAGTCTGGAGTGTAAAGTGTGGAGTGTGGAGTGTAAAGTGTGGCGTGTGGAGTGTAAAGTGTAGAGTATGGAGTGAGGAGTGTGGTGTGTGTAGAGTGTAGAATGTGGTGGAGTGTGGCGTATGGAGTGTGGAGTGTGGAGTGTAGTGTGAGGAGTGTGGAGTGTAAAGTGTTGAGTGTGGAGTGAGGAGTGTAAAGTGTAAAGTGTGGAGTGTAAACTGTAGAGTGTGGAGTGTGGAGTGGAAAGTGGCGAGTGTGGAGTGTAAAGTGTGGCGTGTGGAATGTAAAGTGTGGAGTGTGGAGTGAGGAGTGTGGTGGGTGTAGAGTGTTGAGTGTGGTGGAGTGTGGAGTGTGGAGTGAAGAGTGTAGAGCGTGGAGTGAGGAGTGAGGAGTGTAAAGTGTAAAGTGTGGAGCCTGGAGTATAAAGTGTAGAGTGTGGAGTGCGGAGCGGAAAGTGTCGAGTGTGAAGTGTAGAGTGTGGAGTGTAGAGTGTAAAGTGTAGAGTGTAAAGTGTAGAGTGTGGAGTGTGGAGTGTAAAGTGTAGTGTGCGGAGTGTGGAGTGTAAAGTGTGGAGTGTGCAGTGGGTAAAGTGTGGAGTGTGGCAGGTGGTGGTGATCTCGTTGTGCTGGTGATGTTGCTGTGCTGGTGATGCTGTTGTGTTGGTGATTTTGTTGCGATTTCATTGCGCTGGTGATATTGTTGTGCTGGTTGTGATTTCGTTGGTGGTGATGTTGTTGTGCTGGTTAGTTGTCTCTTTGTGAACCGCACGATGCATGCAAACAAAGTTTCGTTTTCCTATTGCAGAGGTTTGGACTCGTAGCCCAAGAACGTGAATTCATTCGGGTTCGTGGCTTCCATCTTGTTTTTAAATACACACGAACTTTCAACCTGCAGTCATCAGAGGAGTAAACTCTACGCACAGAAACCTTGCCAATCCAATGTGATTTGGCTCAAGCACTGAGAGAAACAGGTGCGTCTCGGTCGCGAGCTGAAACCAATAAAACTTGGTCATCAGCCGTAGCTTCGCCATACCTGCGGCTTCTTTGCGCTACGCTTGCTGCTTTCCTGCGCTGCGCTTGCCTACGGCTGCTCTTGCATCTTCATTCTCTGTCCTTCGCCAGTTCGCTGCTTCGACAGCTTCTTGGGATCCTGTGTTACCAGCCTTTGAGTCGGAGCGCATGGACAAAAGGGGTGGTCGTGACACTAGTGGGTATCACACTCCAAAATCCCCTCAAAACAAGTTATTTGTTGATTGGTATCCGAGAAGGGGTGAAAAGCTCGAAAGCAAGCCAATTTGTTCCAGTCAAGACTGTTTGTTCAGTTTTTGATCTACCACGGGATCATTTCTGGCGTTGAGGAAGAAGGAAAAGGATTTGAGAAAAGTTTTGGTAAAGGGTTGGCATCTGGTTCCAGCACTGTTGTCACGAGTGAGTCGTCTGTTGCTGTTCCGACGCCACGTTCGGTTGAAACAATTGTTGCTAGCGATTCATCTGCTGCGGTTCCCAACCCAAAGGCGCATTTGATTGAAACAATTGTTGAAACCGTTGACGATCCGGAAGAAGAGTTCCCTTTGTTTCCAGTGCTCAGCAAAGCGCCTAGCCCAAGTGTTGTTGGTAATCCGTACATTGATCCTGTTCCAGTCCCAAAAGTTGGTTCGGTTACCATTCCAAAAGGAGGGATTCATCCTATTTCACCGGCAACTAGCCCTCGTCCTAGTGTAACTGGGCGTACTCCAATTGCACCTCCTCTAATTCCATCAGTTTCTTCAAGTTCTTCTGTTGTTCCAACAGTTCCAAAGAAGGCCAGACCAGAAGGAACTCCTGGTGTATCCCATTTTGTTGCTCTGAAGACACCTCCTAAGAATCCACCGTCTGTTGGTCCTGTTCCAAAGACACCTCAAAAGAGCCCCGTGGTGCCTCCGAGAGTTGTTCAGAATCCTAGAGCTGCTTTGAAACCCAAGCTGTCAGGGCCGGTTGTGGATCTTAGTAGTGGGGACGGTGGTAATGGTTTGGTGTCCACTGCAGCTTCGGCGCCTCCGGGAGAGGTGAGGGTCTCGATAGACTACAACCAGACTTCAAATGTGAACGGTCTGGGTTAAGCTCAGTTGTCACACTTTTCGGAGGAAGCCACTTCATCAATTTTGGATTTCTTATTGCATTCACCGCGTAATTGCGTAGGTGTGTGTGTGTAGCTACATCGGTCAATTTGGTACAAAATCACAAGAAAGGCGTCAGTCTTTGTTGTCACAGGTGCTTCATTTAAAACCGGTGGTTGGTGTCGAGCGGGATTCTATCGAATCAACTCGTTGGTTTGTGTATCACGGCAGATAGGGATAAGAATTGCTTGTCTTCTGATCGTTGTTCGAGCCACTTGGACGACAAGGTGAGTGTCATCTCCAATTGCCGTGAAAAGCGTAATCATCGTGATTTCCCCACAGTTCAGTTAATCAGTGAGTACTTCTCGAATATCAACCGGTTGACGCTTCCCAGGGAGTTCCACATAGGGTTTTGGCGCATCCCAACGGATTCTTCGACCATTTGGGACTTCAAGGAGCGCTGATTGCTACCTAGCTGAATAATTGGCTGGATTGGTTTGGAGCACAGTGGTTTGAATGGACAAACAAAGGAAAACAGCAGCATTCATGCGTAGAGGGCTGTAGTTATGAGCGTAGGTTCATCATCTTTGAGCGTGTCACTTTCGTCAGGGACAGGTCCAGGTGCGTCAGCTATGCCAGCGATCGCGGATCGTGCTAGCTCGGACTCGAGGTCATCGTCAGTCAGGTCGGTTTCAAATGTTCGGACGCCATCAAAAGGTCTTCATCTGTTCCTAGGCCTCAGTATAGAGCGGACTCTAGTAATGGCCCCTTTAGTGTTATCAGCAGATGAACGAAAGTACAACGAAGCGCCAAATGCACAACTGATTCATGCAACTGCCTCAGAAGTGATGCATTCAAGAATGGGTGAACAAGAAACAGTTAGACAGGCAGAGCAACATGTGCATCAGATTCATTCAGAAGCGGCTCAGGCCGTGAATCAAATTCGCACTGAGGCCATTCAAGCTGTCACTGAGGCGCTCATGAATAGTCAATCTCAGGTATCTCGCACTCAGCTGGAAGCAACCCAGCATGTTGCAGAGCTTCAACCCCAGTTCCAGGCAAGGGAGCATGAGTTCAGGAGTCAGGTCCAGAGATTGCAGAAAGAGGCAGATGACTCTCGTAGGGAAACCGAGTCTATGAGATTTAAGAGTCAGAATGCCGCGGCTACTAATGAAGGGTCGTTGCAATCGAAGATTGCGTATCTCCACGGGAACATGTGTCGAATTGACAAAGAATTGCAGGAGCAGAAAAGCATGTTGTCTCAGTTCATGGAATCATTCAAACTATATACTCGGGGAAAGGATTGACCAGCTTGACCAATGGTACGAAGAACCACAGCCACCAGCAGACAATGACGAGGAGTTGATCCCAACGAAACAAAACTCACGGAGTTTGATTTCCCTGTTGGTTCCCAAGGATTTCTCACGCCAGTTGGTTCAATGGTAGGTCGAAACTTGTCACCGTTCTTGGAATTTGATCAACCACCTCGTGCCGTTGCGCCAATTCACCAAGGTGAAGAGGACATTAGGAGTTTGGAGGAACGTACCATCAGTTTCAAGGAAGCTGCTTCACTCAGGTTGCTAGCACTGCCAGAGAATGCAGGAGCACTTAGGCAGTGGAAGAACACCTTAATTCCTATGCTGAACAGCTTGGACAAGAGCCCTGAAGGTCCAGTCTACAACTGGCTCAAGGAAGCGTTCCAAGCGAATCGAGATCCAAGCGCTTAAGGAGAGTAGCGGGGATTTTCCAAAGTTAGATCGGATGGCTTGTTCTTGGTTAACCCATGGGGAGGCACTGAAAGGGCAGTTTGGACCACGAATCCAATCCTACATTGAAATGTCAATCACCAATTATCAAGTGTTGCGTGGTAGGCCTATTCTAAACATGATTGTTCGTGAGTTTGACCTTGATGATGCACTGGGAGGTGTTATTAGTGCAGTGGAGTTGTTTCAGATTCCTAGCCCAGAAGGTGATTACTCCTCATTCCGAGACAAGGCTAAAAAATGTTCTCACCCAGTTACCAATTGCTGAGAGGCCTTCTGACGCCATGCTTTCCAAATGGTTGTACGAAAGATTGAAGAAAGTGAGATCATTTTCAGTCATCATTGACAGAATCAAAGAATCTGTAGCTGGTTCCAATGAAAGAACGTTCGATTACTTGTGGAGTAGACTCATGCGACATATTGCCGAGCAACAGCATGACAAGAATTTGTCTTCAACCCAAGAAGATTTAAGGAAAGGTCCCAGGAAAACCACATCAGGTGCAACAGCAAAACCAGAGCCCAAGGCTAAGTCAAAAGTTGAAACCCTTGATGCTTCAGGTGCCGTTGCCAAAGGTAAAGGGAAAGGCAAAGGCAAAGGTAAAGGTAAGACCAAGTCTGCACCAAACACCACCAAACCGCCGGATTCCAAGAACCCGGGGGGTACTTCGACTTCTCAAGGTGATGGGAAGAAGGGTCCATGCATCTTTTTCCCCAGGGGACTTTGTCGTCGCGGCACGGATTGTCCTTATCGACATGAGGGCACCCCTGCTGCAGACCCAAAGGCAAAGGCTAAGCCGGCAGCTGTGGCCAAGCCAGAGGCAGCTGCTATGGTTGCTTTGGTGGGTTCAGTGATTGGGGCAGCAGCGTATGTTCCACCAACAGTTCAAGAGGTCTATCAAGTTGAATGGGCATTGGATAGCAGTGCTGGTGAACATTTAGCATCACGAGAGGCGCTTGTTCACCAGGGTATCCCTCAATCTGTCATTGAAGAATGTGAAACATGTTCTTCCAAACCCTTGACTTTTAGTACCGGGGGAGGTCTCAAAGAGGCCGATGTGACCATCAAAACTCAGGTGATTTGCTTGGAGATTGAATCGTATACATGTTGCGCAAATGTCCATTTGTCAAGTCACTGGGCAGTTGGTGCAATCAGGATTCTCTTTCTTTGGGGATCCCAATCATGAACCGACACTTGTCCCTCCAACGATTGGTTTCAATGTCAATTGTGACTTCTCCAAATGTGTTGTTGCTGATCGGGTTGAACACTGTGTTCCAACTTTCAAGGAAGATGATTCTTTTGTTCATGGGGTTCCTGCTACCGCCTCACCAGCATTTGACGGTGAGAGAGTCTCACGGGTAGAAGACACCGAACCAGCTTCCGAAGCGGTCGGATCTAGCATTTCTGTTATTGAAGTTGCTGGTGGAGATTTTGTTGTTGATCTCATCGAACCCATTTCACATGATCGTGAAGCACCAGACTTTGCGGTTGAAACACCCGAGGGTCTCAAAGATTTTGAAGTTCACACACCGCTTGAGTTGATGCCAGATTTTTCCGCTGATGTCCCTTCCAAAGGCGCCTCGGATCCCAGGGATCCCAAAGACCTCAGCCCAGGCGATCCACCAGATATGCATGCCTCTCGAGGTACAGGCCATGTGCCTTTTGATCATCTTCTATGTCATCAACCAGCATCTCGGCATTGTGATGTGTGTCATCAAGCTAAGCTTCGTCAACGTCCTCACAAGAGGTTTCATAACCAATCTGAATCATCAAGGGCAGCTCAAGTCATTGAAGCTCCAACTGAATTCTTGCAACGAATCAGCATTGATCACATGGAATCTACGGAAGAAGGGCTCCGGGGGGAACAGTATGCCTTGATTTGCGTTGATCAGTTTTCTTGGGTTTTATATGCTTATCCTTCCAAGTCCAAGTCCCAAGCAGCAGTTGGGTCGGCTTTACGCCACTTTTGTCGTGGTAAGCGACCAGTGGTCGCTTTGGATCGATATCCTAGTCTTTTGGTCGCAATTTGCGACTTGCACATGGTTTCTGATCCAGCGGCTCCCAATTCCCCGATTCATAATGCTCTAGTGGAATCTTCTATCGATGTGATCCGTCAGGGTACTCGTTCCCTGTTGGTTCAAAGTGGCTTGAACATCATGCATTGGCTTTGTGCCATGTCGCGTTTCTCCTACCAGTATGATTTGAGTTCACCTCCAACTTTAGCTGACGGTTCATTACGTGCAGCTGCGTATCAACATCAACTTGAATTACCTGAAAGGGTTGAAGGCCCTGCACTCCCACCGATTGAGTTTGACAGCAAATTGCACATGGCATTGACGTACCAGCCTGAACCTCGTATGTTGCCTTTTGGTGCCATGGTTTGGCTTCTTGGGAAGTCCAAAGACCCCACTAATCCCAAATCTCTATAAGTCCGAATGGTAAACCTGCTATTTATGTTGGTCCCGAGGTTCATTCCGGCATGTGTTGCAAAGATGTGCATGTCCTGTTAGACTTGACCCTTTTGTCTTCGTCAGATCGTGTGAGAGAAATCATCACCAGGGATTTCATTGCCCCTACAGGCCCATGGATTTTTCCGTTGACCAAGATTCCCATGCTTAGTACCCTAACACCCGAAATTCCAGTGCCACCTGCAGTGAGTGATGACGCAGTTGAGCCGGCTCGCAATCGGTCCATCACTCGTCGGCGTCTCTTGGCGTACGGTCACACCGAAGCTTGTGAAGGATGCCTCAATGGCACCTACCAACATACTGCAGACTGTCGCGCTCGGTTCAATGCCTTGCTCAATGAGTCCGATCCCCTTGCCCTGGATTCCGGGGGGGATCGACGTTGCAGAAGAAGTTGAGGAATCTAGTCAAACCCCAGGTCCACCAAAACCTCTTTTGTTTGATACCATTGATTATGATGCCATGGATCGTGATTCCGTCCCTGAATGTCCACCACCTGAAGATGACTATTCCCCAACATCAATGGCATCAACACCAGAATCCGGTTTCATTGAAGAAGAAGAAGAAGCAGAAGATGTTCAAGATAGATTAGCTGAGCTAATTCCCGGGTTGTTGGTAAAGCATACCACGATCAAACCATGAGAAAACACGGTCTTTTTGTGGAGTTTTGCTGTTCAGACAATAGTGCTCTCAAAAGGGTCACTGAACATTGGGGATTGCATACTTTGGCGTGACAAAAGTCCACAGTCAACCTCGACGATGAAGAGGCTTTCGAACAATTTCTGGGGTGGCTGCAGGTGGAAGTCCAGGATCCTGTGCATTTGTGGGGCTCGGTGCCTTGCACTGCATGGTCACCATGGCAAAACATGGCATTGGCTCAATATGGAGAGCCATACCGCATCAAACTGGAAGAGAAGCGTGAGCTGTCACGACAGTACGTGGTCAAATTCAAGCAAGCGGCTGACGTTGTGAAGATGTCCAGAGGAGGCTCAGTGACCTTTGAATGGTCAAAGGATTCTTCCGGATGGAAGGACCCAGTCGTGGAACAAACCATGGAAGCTCTGGAGCTCACAGGGGTCAGAGTTCATGGATGTTCGTTCAATCTGCAGATTCATGGCAAGCGACCGGAACGGCCGTGGGTAATCAAAACTGATAACCCCAAGCTCTTCAAAGAGTTATCCACCAAGGTTTGTAAACACCCCCAGGGTTTTCACGACTATCTTGAAGGGTCTCTCACAGTAAAATCTGATTTTTACAATGTCGCCATGGCCACCTGCATCCTAGCCACCCTTTATCCAGGAGTAATGTTTGACAAGGTTCCTGCCATGCCAGTGGTTCCATTTGTTCAACATGAACATCGGGAGAAATATGTCTTCGAGTCCATGCCTTCTTTCCCCGTGCTAGCTACCATCCATAAACTTCTCACGCGTCAAGAGATGATGGCGGATCCTTTGGCACTTCAGGCAGTAGCCGATGAGGCTAAAGCCATGCGGGAAATTGGGGTATGGGCTGATGACTCAGTAATGGAAAAGTCTGATCGAATCCAACAATCCAAACAAAGCGATGAGGAGATTCACTTTGCTGATTTGATGAGTATCGCGTAAATCAAGCATTTTAAAGTTCCATGGAAAAGGAAATACAAAGGTAGGGTAGTTTTTCGTGGAGACCAGGTCCGTAACCAGTATGGAGGAGCGGCCCAATTTGGCCAACTGTACTCAACTCCAACAATCATCCAGGCAGTGAATGTAGCGATTCTTTTTGGCCTTTTGTGGAACAACGTCATCAGGCTTGCTGACGCTACCAGAGCGTTCCTGCAAGCCGAGTTGTTAGCCAAACAGGACACTTATGTTTCCTTGCTCTTTGAGGTGCGGTTACCAGAATGGAAGGGCATTTTTCGAAACCCAACGGTCCGACTCCAACGGGCACTCTACGGCCATCCCCAGGCTTCAGCATTTTGGGATCTTCACCTGAAACAGGTTTTGATGGCTGACTTAGGTTTCATTGCCATTGAGGGTCATCCATCGGTTTATTACCATGAAACTTTGCGCCTCTTGGTTGTCGTCTATGTGGACGATATCTTGGTATCAGGTCCCCCAGAGTTCCCAAGATGAATTTTGGAATGCCATTCAACTCAAAGTGAAACTTGATGATGTTGAAGAATTAACTGAATTCCTTGGTCGCTTTCACCATCTCTCATCCAATTCATGTGTTTTCAATATGATTGATTACTGTGAAGAAGCCATTAATGGGTACAAGGAAATCACCAATGCCACATTGAAACACGTGACAACTCCGTATGTTTCAGATGGTGTTTTCACCGACCAGGACTATGAAATAACCGGAGAAATTGCACACAAAGCATCGAGTGTCCTTACGAAACTACTATGGGTATCCAGATTGTGTAGGCCTGACCTTGCATTTGGAATCAGCCTTTTAGCCTGACAAGTCACTACCTGGAGTCGTAACAGTGACAAGCAGCTTTTTCGATTAGTTTCATATTTGGAAAGCACCAAGGCTATGTGCCTTCATCTCACGGTTATGGATGAACCACAAAATTGCGCTTTGGACCTATTTTGCGACACAGATTTAGGCGGATGTCCACACACTGCCAAATCCACAAGTGGCCTGTTTTTGGTAGTTAGGGGACCCAATGGAACATTTGTGCCATTGGCGTGGCATGCCAGACGCCAGCAACATGTGGCGCGATCCACTGCAGATGCTGAGTTGAATTCGTTGTCCGAAGGCTTGCATGAGGAGTTTTTCCCAGTTGTTCAGCTCCTGGACAAGCTTCTGGGAAGCTCATCCCCCCGACCTGTAGTGAGGGAGGACAACAGTGCTGTAGTAGCAGCGATCACTAAGGGTTATAGCATAAAGTTACAACACCTTGCTCGTACTCCTAAACTGTCACTGGCATCCCTTAATGAGGCTTGTTCCACGTGGTGTTCTTTGGTGCAAACACCCACAGCAGACCAGTTGGGGGACTACTTTAACCAAGTGTCTAGCACCAAACAAGTTTGATCCATCGCGCCTTGGTTTGCATATTAAGTCCAACACTTAGTTTTGTCCGAACCTTACTTGATTTTGTCCGGTCCTTAGTGTACCGTCACCAGCTTTACAAAGCGGGTCGGACTAAGGCTGCTTTCTTGGCAGTATGCAGCTTTTGCGTTGCAGCGGCTCTCTTTCGCTGCCTTGCTTCTTCTGCCGTGGATCAGCGCTGGGAAGCAGCCCACTTTGAATCTGAGCTGGCCCATGTGTTTCTTTTAGGATCGGCAATGCCAGGTGAATTCACTATTTGAGACCGCCCTTAGCTGGTTTTTGTCTCATACGTGTCACTTGCAAGTTCTTTTCTCGTCATGCCCATGTTTGATCTTGACAGCCCATAAAGCCTCTTATCAGCACTTGATGCGAAAGATGGCGGGCCAAAGGTTCTTTGCTCATCCTTTACCAGCATTCGATGCGGAAAGTAGCTAGAACCATGTTTTCTCTGTTTGACTCACCTTTCGCGCCATTATCGGACCCATGTTCCCAGACGCTTACGCAGACCTGGCTGGGGGGTCTGCACTAGCATCGTTCGTGACTACCAAGGGCCATGTATTGACGCGCGGGGGAACTTTCAACCTGCAGTCATCAGAGGAGTAAACTCTACGCACAGAAACCTTGCCAATCCAATGTGGTTTGGCTCAAGCACTGAGAGAAACAGGTGCGTCTCGGTCGCGAGGTGAAACCACTAAAACTTAACACGTATATGATTGTACAGGATTCTTTGGGATTGTATAGGGGTGGTACGAATGGCGATAGGATTGTATGGGATTGTATAGGTGTGTCATGGTGCATCATTGTGTATCATGGCGTATCGGTGTATGTATGTGTTTGATTATTTTGATTGTGTTTGTGTGGCAGGCAGGAAAGGCCCACGAAGTGAGCTGCGGGAGACTCAGAGAAACACTTGGGGATGCGCATCGTCTGAGGTGATCCAGGTGATCCACATCTCCATGGTGTGAATTGAGGTATACATCTTCACATGCACAGGCATATGATGTCATTTACAGATACACATACAATACGAATAAATAATAAGATATAATAAATATGTTTACATATCTGTTGTATGAAGATTATAATGGTAATATAATAATATAACAATATATATGTATATATATATATCTGTATTCATTTATTTGTTTATATCTACCCATGCATTGAGTTTGGCAGGCTTGGGTGTGCATGTATCATCTTTAAGTGATTCAATGAATGCTATCATTTTGGCTCAAGTGAACCAAAATAGCTTTCATTGCTTTTCTTTCTAGGTCTGGTAAGGGGTGACCTTCCTAGACCTTGATTGTTTCCAGGGGTGACCTGGTGGGTAGCAAAGGGAGACCTTGCATGCAGCGGAAGCTCCCAGGGATTGACATCCCGGCGGCCACTGAGGCAAATATCCTCCATGCGGCTGCTTTTCTAGAGTTTAAGCAGCACGTCGAGAGGCCGGCACGGGAAGGGTCCAATCTGGCAGCCTACACTTGCTGGATGCACGGGGTGGAAGTCTGTCATTCACCCTATGTCATGGCTGATGGCACAGACTCTGACCTGTTTCCCCCGTTGCCCAAGATGCCCTGTTGCGTTGAGAACTGCCAGCGCTGCGCAGCCCACTTTGGCGGGTTCAAGTTCCCCTGGCTTGGACTTTGGAATAGCCGAGGCATCGTTCTGCCCCCGGATATGGCTCCCAACGAAGCTTGGGGCTATTTCTACAGGCACCAGGAAAGAATGGATCTTTTGTTGGTGGCGGCATACACCAACTTTACACCAGCACCCGACCTGGTGCCGCAGGAGCTCTATGGCTTGCAGCTCAGGTGCTCAGCGGGTGACGCTGGGCAACTGGGCCTTGGCGAGATCTTTGATCAATGGCGCACCTGGCTCGACAGCATCGGCAGCCGCGGGCTGTTGGTAAGGTTTGTGGAGCCGCGCATTTACCCAAGAGCTCCCAGGAGGCGACCCTGGCCAGCCTGGGGACCGGCAGGATCTCGAGCCCATCGGGCACTTTGCGGCTGGCTGGAGAGCCAAACCTGGAGGCAGCCTTGTGGGCACTGTGGGGAGCGTAGGAAGATGCTCTCGGACGTATGAGATTGTGTCTGAGGAGGATCCTCTGCAATCACCTTTTTGCTCTCCGCACCTTAGCAATCCTGTTAGGGTGCAGTGCCATGGCATCAGGCGGCAAGGGCTACTATGCAGCGCAAGCAGCAGCCTCCTCCTCGTCAGGGGGTGACCCTGCGCCAGGATGGAGGGCGGCCGATTCCTTGAGGATGATTGCTGCGCAAAGAGCACGTCAATGGAGGGAGTCCGAAGGCCTCTTGGACGACAACGACTTCGCCTACGCCTACACTGACTATGACCAGGTGGTTGGGCTGGCTGGTCATCACGTAGCTGATCACTGGCTCCAGACGAGAGTTAGGGTGGAGGAGGAACTCCTTGCGGCTGGGGCCGAAGTCGTTGAGGACAACCCCACAGTAGTCGTGCGCCCCGTCCGCAAGACGATTTACAAGAAGAAACCCCGAGCAATCAACGTGGACAAGAACCTCAGCGAGGCTGTGCAGAAGAGGGGTAACGGCCTCGTGTCCATGTTCCTTTGTATGGGCTCCTACAAGCCTGCCGACATCCTCACGGACACGCTCAGGGCAGAGTGGAAGCAGACCTGCCGAAGGATTGCCGAGAAGAAGGTTCAAGATGCAGAGAAGGCCACCATCGACCGTGTAGTGAACACTTGGCTGGAACTTCGGTCTTTCTTGGAGAGCCGGGGGCGACCCGCTCCTCCAGAGATGGTGGACCTGGACCAGTACTTGCACCACACGCAGGCGCCAGCACGAGCACTCCAGGCATTGAGTGGATGAACAGGAACGCCAACCAGGAGCTGGATCTGAGCAACCTGCAGGTGCCAACCACGCCCAGGGCGACTGGGCCGCGTGGCCAAGCACCGGTGGTGGAACCTCCATTGGTGCAAGCTCTGGAGGACCGCATTGGAACTGCATGCGGTTGGAGATGAGAAGTGGTCAGTCCTCCTGGCCCCATGGGTCATGGAGTTTGGCTGTTTGCGCTATGCGCACATAGCAAGGTCCGAACCTCGTCGCCTCACTTCAGCCTTCCTACATTGCAGGTGCCCCAAAGGCAAACAAAAGCATGCTCGTGAGGGGTCGATTTTCCAGTGCCAGCCAGCTTCTCCAATGGCTTCTTCTGGGCCAAAGAAGTCCTTGAAGCCCATTGCACCTTGGCGCCGGCGCGACAGCGAGTGGCCGGGCTGTGCTTCTCCGACGCTAGCGTCCATGGACCATCCTGGAGGTCCAAGAGACCATGCAGACTGACATGGCGGTCTTGTTGGACAACCCGGGGAAAAGATTACTACGTACTCCTGGAGACGCATGGCACCTACACTGGCGCAGCTACTGCGCCCAGAGGAGATGGCCGCACTGGGGGACTGGCAGAACAAAGAAGCAGATGCAGCCGCCTCGCCACTGATGCCTGATCAACTGAATGGCAAGGTGCTGACCGCCCCCAGAATTCCAGACAGGTGAGTGCCCGAACCCGGCTGAGGAGTGCCCCTTCGGCGTACATTTGTGTGCCATCCTGCAGCAGTCAGGCAGGGCCTGTGGAGGGAAACATGGGGCCGGAGTCTGCCACATCAAGAGAGCAGTCATGGCGACATGAGCTGTGCCAGCCACTCCAAAACCTTCAGTTACTGCCTGCGTTCACCAGAAAGAGAGCAGCAGCTGAACCCACAGATGATATGGCAACCGCGATGTGGGCAGCTGTGAAGAAAGCCCGAGGTGCGGCAGCGCCCAAGACGCCCCCGAAAGCAATGCCTAAGACTCCGCCCAAGGCGGCCCCGAAATCAGCACCGGCGGGCAAGCCGCAGAGCAAGTTAGCCGCCATGCCCAAGAAGGGTGGGGGATGCAAAAGGGCAGGAGAGCAGCTAGACCTCCACTTGGAGCGCTTGGGAGTTGGCTCCGGTACTGCCCAGGCCCCGCGCAGCAGATCTGCTGCTTTCCCAATGGTCCTGAGAGCCGGGGGAGGGTGACCCTGCCATGCGCTCAGCTCATGACTTTTGCAGCGGCTTACAGCCAGGAGCGATCTGAGCAATGGACAGACGTCTGGCCAGCAGTGAAGCACACCGTGTGGCACGGCGACAACGTCCTGATCCACTGCATCAAGGGGCGCCACAGGGGCGCACTCTTGTCCGTGGCGTTGGTGGCAGGCGAGTCCATTGAGGCAGCCAATCGCCACATTGAAGATCATCGTGAGACAGAGCTGCACAAGGTGATTAAGGACCAGGGCATGAAGAAATAGCTGCACAAAGCCCTCCAGGACACGGCAGTGGGAGCCCAACATCCTGTGCCACAGGGTTATGCAGCCACTGAGAAGTCCAGCACACACGTGCTCGTACTGGCACGGCCAACGGGAAGGCGAAGCGCCTGGTGAACCCGTACACCACCACTGACATCTTTGAGGCACTGGCCAATGCCTCTGCCGAGCACCTGCCTCGTGGTGGCCACCGGCCTGATCCTGCCGAATTTTTGGCCTTTGCGCTACTTTAGCAGCATGGCCCGTTCCGGCGAAGGAGACCCGAATTCAACCGCTCGGGGCCTGGATAAGAGCATTTAATCCAGCCTGCAAGACGCCCCCAGCTGTGACCTCGTGTGTGATGAAAATGGCGCGTACCCAGTCGACACCTTTGGTAGAGTTTAGGCGTTAGGTGGGAGGTTCTTTCGTCAGGTCTTGAAGTCAACTTTCAACTGCTTGCCCATTGCTAGTCTGGGAGGGGTCCTCCTAGGATGGAGTTTGCAGCAGAGTGCAACACAACTTCATGAGGGTGGGCTCATGACGAGTTGTCAACGATTTTACATGTCAATTGCACTGTTTTTGTAGACAATTTCCAACTGAACCAACATACGGAGGAGATCCGAGGCGCAGTTTTCAGTCAAAGGGAGGGGATCCCTGGGCCTTAGACAGAGGGGTGTCCTCGGATGTCGGCCATGGAGACTGACAAAGTCCCATTGGAGAAGGGTTCCCCCGAAGAAATCCTTAGGAAGTTGGGTGACAACTTCGGGTTGGATGACGGGGTGGTAGAAGCCTTACTCCAATTAGGGATCGAAAGCCTTCAGGAGTTTCGGTTTTTATGGGCATCAGAGCAGGCTATTGAGACCTGGATTGGCAAGCTGGGTTTGGGAGACAAAGCCCTGCTGATGACAGCCAGAGTGCGCAGGGCCTGGGCAGCGGTAGGGTTGTACTACCGCCAGGTCGGGCAAGATTGCTCTAAGATTGCCCTGTCCGATCTGGACACGATGCTCAGGGAGACCGAGCTGCGCGACACCAAGCAGCAGTTCTGGAGGCGCTACAAGATGAGGTTCCCCCCTGAGATCCACCCTGCCGACACCACGATCTCCAGAGTGGCCAGGGAGATGCAGAAGCGGATGCTCTGTGTCTACAACATCTGGAGGGTGAAGACGCTGCAGTTTCAGCTCACCACCTCCCAGAAGAAGCGTAAGCTCAGCGATGGGCTGTTCATTAAGGATGGCGAGGATGAGGAGATCGTAGCTCACGACGTGGACAACTACCTTGACAGGTTGTTTACTCTGCTGCTGGCCTATGCAATGGCTGGGTGCGCCGGGGTGACCGGTGCGCCTGACGCGGCACAAGAATTGAATCTTGGGGCTGACACCACCAAGTTCGTGAATGTGCCACTGGACGTGATCTACAAGTACTACTTCAGTGCCAAGCGCAGCATCATGGTGATGCCCATGGCCCAGCGCCTACAATGGCTCCAAACACGTGATGTGGAGGAGCGCAGCGAATGTCGAAGTTCAGGGAGTCCACAATGAGCTTGGGCCAAGTCATTTGCGAAGTTTATATACTTCACGTGATGCGCATTGGTCTACTCCA